CTCCCCCGCCCGGCCATTCCGGAGCGAATCCCCCCGCCTCCCCCGCCGTGATTTTTCTCCTGTTTTATTATTTTAATTTTACCTCTCACGCCTCTTCTCGGAGGGGTCGCTGCGCGGCCTCCCCTCCCACCCCGACTACAAACCTCTTCGCTCCCTTCCCCACCCTCGCAGAGGCGAACGGGGAGTCCCCACCGCGCCCGAGGGTCTCCTCCCTCGCTCATCGCGCCCCGCATCGCCCGTGGGTCCGGGGGAGCTGAGACAGACAGCCCCCTCCCTGCCACCGTCCTCGGCCGCCCGGGAAGGGGGAAGGTAGGCAGAGAGGGCGGGAGGGGCCGGCTTCTTCCTCCTCCTCCTCCTCCTCCTCCTGCCGCTGCTGTGGGATCGGCCCCTCTGCCTGCGCCGGAGAGGGGGGGCAGCCTGCTACTGCGAACGAGAGAAAGAGGAAGGGGAAAGAAGAGGAAAAAGGGGGGGCAGCAGGGGTGTTGAAACCCGCCCCCCACCTTCCCATCCCGCGATCGGTGCTGCCTCCATCAGGACAACAACCCCTCCTCCTTCCCTGCACAACAAGATGTGAAGCGGAGACTCCTGGGACTTATCCTCACCCTCCTCATCCTTACAGCTCCCCTTTCTGCAGCCATTAGCGACGGGCGAGGAAGAAGCGAGTGGAGCTGGGGACCCCGCGCACGCTGTGCCACTCCCCCCGCCGCCTCCCCCCCAGCCCTGTCGCTGGCGGTGGGTATTTTTTCGCAGGGTGGTGTTGGAGGGGGAAGGAGCCGCTGCTAGAGGACGGTGATCTTTTTTTCTTTTTTCCTCCTCCTCTCCCCTCCTTCGCCCGCCTCCTTGTGGCGATGAGGAGGAGGAGGACGGCGCCGAGGAGGAAGAGGCTGATGGCGGCGGTGAGGAGGCAGCAGGAGGAGGAGACCCCACGAAGGATGAAGATGATGATGGTGGCGGCGGCGAGGAAGCACCAGCACAACAGCCGGGATTAATTTTACTAAAAAAAAAAAAAAAAAAAAAAAAAA